TGTGTTTGTGTGTGTTTGGGAGTGTGATTGTGTGTGTGTGTTTGTGTGTGTTTGTGTGTGTTTGAGTGTGTTTGTGTGTGTTTGGGTGTGTTTGAGTATGTGTGTGTGTGTTTGTGTGTGTTTGGGAGTGTGATTGTGTGTGTTTGTGTGTGTTTGGGAGTGTGATTGTGTGTGTTTGGGTGTGTTTGTGTGTGTTTGTGTGTGTTTGAGTGTGTTTGAGTGTGTGTTTGGGTGCAGTATCAGAATTCCCCCATTAGATGTGGATTTGGGATTTGCAGTTGAGTTTTCCTCTCTCAAATAATATACACACACACACACACACACATTTCATTACACACATACAAACCAGACTCTGATATCGACACCAAACCACACACACACACACACACACACACACACACACACACACACACACACACACACACACACACACACACACACACACACACACACACACACACACACACACACACACACACACACACACACACAATTACAGCTGCATAATTTATCCAATTGCCTCTATAATATGCCGAAGCAGAAAACAGGAATAAAGAGTTTTTGCTTTACAGGCCAAACCTGAGAAAATAACACATCGGATGAAATAAATAATCTTGAAGCCAGCAGAATGAAAGTCTATTAACAAAGGTCGCATCGTTTTACAGTTAAATGACTCTGGGATTAAGAGGGTTTCAATGGGGACCAATCCCCCCGCAGGTCCTGAGAGGAACTATTCTGTGTTACTGGAGTCAAATAGAGTTTTTAAAGGAAATCACAGTGAAATAGTAAAACCACACTAAAAATACACACTTGTGCCAAAATGTGTGCAGTTGGGATTAACTCAAGCAAAATTATCCAAAAAAAACCCCCCTGAAAATATGTCCACATGGTTGCCATCGGTTAAATTGAGTTAAGAGCCCTAAAGTATACATATAACCACAGTTAAAGGAGTAGTTCACTTTTGAAAAAACTATTGCTGATAATTTACTCACCCCCGTGTCATCCAAGATGTCCATGTCTTTCTTTCCTCAGTCGAAAAGAAATTAAGGTTTTTGATGAAAACATTCCAGGATTTTCTCCATATAATGGACTTCAATGGGAACCAAACGGTTCAAGGTCCAAAAGACAGTTTCAGTGCAAACTGTTCAAATGTCTGACGATGAATAAGGGTCTTATCAAGCGAAACGATCGATTATTTCAAAACTTATTCCAAAAATGTAACTTTTCTAAGGACAAATGCTAGCCTTGCTCTATTCTGTGAGGCGCGTTTGTAACGTCACGTAGTACGTAATTACGTTCAAAAGGTCACGGGCGACGTAGCCGGAAGTACAGAGTCAGTGTTTACAAGTTGAACGCATAGGTTGAACGTGCAAACTAACTCAAACGCCGTTTACAAAAAAAGGAATTAAAAGGTAAAACAACGATGTCGGACGATTTTGATTCTGTCGCCCGTGACCTTTTGAACGTAATTACGTATTACGTGACGTTACAAACGCGACTCACAGAATAGAGCAAGGCTAGGATTTGTCCTTAGAAAAGTTACATTTTTGGAATAAGTTTTGAAATAACCGATCGTTTCGCTTGATAAGACCCTTATTCATCGTCTGGTGTCGTTTAAAGACATTTGAACAGTTTGCACTGAAACTCTCATTTGGACCTTGAACCGTTTGGTCCCCATTGAAGTCCATTATATGGAGAAAATCCTGGAATGTTTTCATCAAAAACCTTAATTTCTTTTCGACTGAAGAAAGAAAGACATGGACATCTTGGATGATACGGGGGCGAGTAAATTATCAGAAAAAGTTTTTTTAAAAGTGAACTACTCCTTTAACTGTATAAAATAAAGACAATTACATGAACAAATGAAAATAGAAGCAAAGAAGAGAGATTAAGAATAAAAGAAGAGAGAAATGAAAGTAAATCAGGCTCTGCTCAGGTTTGAATGACGATTGTGTGCGTTTGAGGATTTAATGTTAAATAATGTCTAAAATCCTGACGTGAGCCTGAAAGATTCACTCGAGCTTCTGTTGTGATGCTTCAGAGAGTTTGAGTTTCACGAGTGTCTCGTTGTTCTCATGATGACATACACACTCTTCTGAAACACACACACACTCTCTGTGTGTTAGGATGTCCTCGAGATGCACAATACGAGCCGCTCCTCCTACACACTCCGTCCTCACAAACACAAACACGAATAAACGCGGCCTTGTGCATCACGACCGGGAAGAACACTTCATGCAGATGTTCTCCGACTGGACAAACATTAATGTGAATACACAACTTATTATAAAAGCGTTTAGAGGAGCGTCTTTGTGAAGCGCACGAGGGCCTCGATAAGCCGAGCGTCTCGCCTCTTTCTTTATCACTGGACTTCCATTAAACTCGTCAACGAGAGAACAAAGACACGAGAGACTGAGGAAATCACTCCTTTAACACTGAAACACATGTGTGTGAAGCTAATAATGAACGAGTGGATCTGAAACATGAAAGATGAGAGATCATGTGATCATCAGACTTTATATGCAATTCATTTCATCTTTAAAACAATAATCTAATGCTTTATGCTGATTTTTTTGGGTAAATTACGAGTCACTTGTTGTTTTTGAAGCATCACCAATAGAGAGACACTCAAAAATACAGTGAATTCAAACGTTAATCGCTCAAAACACACCCCAAGAAGAGCACTGACACACACACACACACACACACACACCCTAAAGGCCTGGTGTGAAGGCCAGAGACACAGACTCATCCATCGCCATCAGCTCTGCAGAAATGAGAAACAGCGAAACCTTCAGCAGGAGGTCAGAGCAGCCTCCAGTTGTCCATCGCTCACACACACACACACACACACACACACACAGCGTCAGGTACGAGATTCAAGATATCGCAGTTTTGAGATACACAAGCAAAGTTGCATTAAAATGAAATAAAGGACAGCTGTAGCAACACACAAAACACATTCTTACGCAGTGTGTGTGTGTGTGTGTGTGTGTGTGTGTGTCTAATTTAGTAGATCAAGATCTAAAAATCCTTGAAAATATTTATTTCCAAGAAAGAAAGGCAAAGCTGCATGAGATATCAAGATATTAAGTTTTCAAATATTGACTTTAGTCTCACTGCACTGGCACATTTGTTTAATAGTTTTTAAGTATAAAGAAGTTCAAAATCCCAGCATGAGATCTAAAACATGACCTGTGCCTTTCTACGCCAGTCTCAGGCGCTCCTAGATCATGTTTTCCTGCTTGAATGTTGATTATTCTCCTCATATTCTCCATTGTTGCGGCTCCTCTCTTCCCAGTCTGTCAGTAACTCTCTGTTCACTTCCTGTCTCTATGAAGCCCCTCCTCCTGAAAGCACACTGTGCTCTGATTGGTCGGCTGGAGCAGTGTGTTGTGATTGGTCGAGCGCTTTGAGTGTGTTCGGGAAATGTCCCGCCCCTTTCCATAACCGCCAGTTTAACACACTACTAACTAACTCAACCAGGCCCCGCCCCTTTATTCTGCGCATTAATTATTATAATGAGGAATATTGAGGCGTGTTCGTTCCAGGAGAAACTCAAGATACAATGGAGGCGTTTCAGGGACCTAAACTTATAATTGCGTCATCATTGTCTAACCTTCATGTATGACATTCTTCTGTTGAACATAATATGAAAACGTAACCGATAACCGATAATTCTTTATAATTGAAAGCCGATATAACCGATATAATGGCCGGTAAATCTAAACCCTAACTTTTAAATAGTTTTTGAGAGCCTGATTACAAAAACAAATATAATGTTCTCATTATAATTTTTATGTAGCCGATATGAAAGACTTGCGCTTTACTGTATTCCAAAAACATATTTAAAGCGATTCATAGCCATCATGTTGAACATCTGAAGCATCTAAAGCGTCTCAGCTGAAGGACATAATACATTATTTATCAGCTTTAATATATCGGACAGATTTCATATTGGACTGATGCCGATAACATTATAAATAAGCATATATCGGCCTATAGCTATATCGTTCAAATGAGCATATATCATCTCAAAGTCACTGAATTTCACATTTATTATTATGAAAAATGCACAAAAATACTATTTTCAATTTTTACATGAATTATATATTTCAAAAAACACGTTTTACTCTAAAACTGCAAGAAAATCAAAGCAAAATTGTTCAAAATTAAAGCCCGACCGATAAAGGATTCTGAAGGCGATACCGATACAAATATTTGTTGGTTTTAAAAATCCGATATATCGGCCGATATTTTTCATTTTATTTTTTTCAGGAACGCACAACAAAACATTAACAGATTTCCCTAACATGAGTTATTTGTAGTTATGTATGAGTTTTAATTAAAATAATATGATGATGCATTTTAAAAGGAAACTTGTTTCTTTTATTGTCGCAACAGAACAGAGGAGGAACCAAAGCTCATTAATTAATTAACAAAGCTCATTAAATTCCACTGATGATGGTGGCATTAGCTAGCTTTGTGGTTAGCTAGAATATGTTGCGCGTTATAAACGAGTGTCAGGGATGGTATAGAGTGTCTTCTGGTGGACAAACTACACAACTCCAACACTCCAACATGACATGGTTGAAGCGCGTTTCATCCATTTTTATTTTATTTCTGAAATATTCATTTATCGGCCATTTTAACTGCCGATACCGATAGTTTGTAAAATGCCTAATATCAGCCGATAATATCGGTCTGGCTCTATTCAAAATATGAGGTTGATATCTAAAAAAAAAAAAAGATCTTTCAGTTCGGCTGCAGTTCCAAACGCTTCCACTAGACGACACTCGACTCTCGTTCATTTCCAATGCGCTCGTTTCTGACCGCGAGGAGCACAAGTGTGACTGTTGTTTACAGGACCGTTTAACCTGTTCACATCATGATCGGGATTATTGAGCGCCAAAACCTTTACCAAGTTCCGTACCATTACGATGAAGAAAAACAGTATATGACGCAGTGTTACTCAACATCCGTCAGTGGGTCGGGTTTACCTGCACATTTGGTGCGTGCTCTCAGCGGGGGCCCCGGGGCTCCGGTCCCTCCGTCCAGGGGCCGCGTCAGCAACACGCTGATCTCGTACTCCGTGTCGGGGTCCAGGTGGCCGATCTTGTGTGAGGTTTTGTCGACGGGCTGCAGGTCGTACATGGAGCCGGAGACGGTGCGGTACTCCACCTCGCGGCTCACGATCGGCCCGTCTCCGTTGATGGAGTTCGCGTTGAGCTGGATCCACAGATACGTGGCCCCGACCGCCATCAGCTGAGGAGGAGCGATGGGGACCGGCGGCTCTAGGGGACAAACACCACATCCAGTGTTAAAGGGGTCCTATAATGCGCTATTCACAAGATGCGAGTGTGTGTGTGTGTGTGTGAAGTTTCAGCTCAAAATACCCCATAGATATTTTTATATATTATGCTAAAATCGCCACTTTCTGAGGGTGAGCAAAAATGCGCCGTTTTTATATGTGTGTGTCCCTTTAAATGCAAATGAGCTGCTGCTCCCGGCACTGGGGGCGGAGCTACGAGAGCTTGTGTGTGTGGAGTTGACGATCTTCTAATCACTGATTAGCATATTCAGTCATGATAATCTACAAATAGTGTCCTGGGGGCAGAGTTTATGTAAATTTTAGTGTTTGTGATGTCACTAACGTGTGTGTAGTTCTACCGGCCGTTTGTTGTAGTCCTTAAAAAGTGCTTTCTGTAATAGTAAATCTCTCTGTTTGCTTTGAGCGTTGAGAGTCGTAACTTTGCAGATGTTGTTTACGCTCAAACTGCAACATCACATGAGTGACATCATAATCAACCGCCCCTTTAATAAGAGTGGGCAGCGGTCTGTGTGTGTCATTTCGTACCGCGTAAATAAAAACGATAAAAACATGAAGCTTCGCTGAACAGAATCGAAGTCCTTCTGGCGACCAATCACAACGTTGCTCGCGTGTGAAATCAAACACATGTACAGTGTGTGTGTGTGTGTGTGTGTAGTGTTTATCAGTCCACAGAGTCACGCATGTTCGTATTGACCGACTGCAGACGGTGACCCCAGACCGTGACCCCGGAATACCCATAATCCTCCACTGCTAATCAAACATAACCTCGAACGAGCCGCTTAATCCCGCTCTATAAACTCTGTCCGTCTCGCTTCGTCTTTAATCCACTCGTTTGTCTTTTGTCTGTAGTTTCACGTGCGCAGGGAGATACTGACCTCTGACCCCTGACCTCGACGGGTCTTCAGCGAATGTGAACGTCGTCATTCCTTGTAGGTGGACTTAAATTGGTAAAATGTGTGTGAGAGTGTGTTTGTGTGTAAGTGCGGTTTTGAGTGTGTATGAGTGAGACTGTGTGTGTGTATGAGCATGTGTGTGTGTGTGTGTGTGTGTCTCTATCACTCTCACAGAAGTCATCTATCAGCACACACTGAAGCGTGACCCGCGGGCCAGAGATCAGCCGCTAACAGGAGTTTAATGAAGCGCTTTATAGAGACATCCGTCACACACACACACTCAGACTTCATCAGATCGAGTTCAGAGTCACACACACACCGAGACTTCATCAGATCGAGCTCAGAGTCACACACACATGTCATACACACACCAGAGAGTTGAAAACAGCTGAAAACACCAGCAACCTGAAGCTGCGAAACACACACACACACACACACACACACACACACAACAGCAGCAACGAGCTGACGAGACATTCAGAAAAACTTGGCAGATGCTGTGAGCTTGTGTGTTTGTGTGTCTGTGAGTGTGTGTGTGTGTGTGTGTGTGTGTGTGTGTGATTATTAGGTTTCGGGGTAGGGTTAGTGTGTGTGTGTGTGTGTGTGCGTGCCTGTGAGCGCATGTGTCATGAGTTTAGGACGGTGGACAGCTGTGACCCGTTTCAGTAAGGCACCTGTCTGACACACACACACACACACACACACACGCATTTATATCTAATTTTGATCAGTTTTTCAGTAAACTATTTTGAATATGGTCAGTCATTGTTCTTGTTCTCCAGTAAACGTGTCGTGATGTACGAGTGTGTAGATGTGTGTGTTCTGGAGAACGAGACAGACACACTGAGGAGGAACACCATGTTTTGTCAGTGTATAAAACACAGAGGAGGCGGAGTCTCGTCTGGCCTGAGGGCAGAGCCACTGAACATGATTGACAGCTCTCGGTCGGGAGAGGCGGGATTAAAGCCATCAATCACAGAAAGCTGTGGGATAAAAACTACAGGAACATAAATTCAATTGAGCGAGAGAGACTAAGAAAGAGATATTGAAGGCCATTACCGGACTCTCTGAGAGCGGATCAGGATTTAGATGCTCTATAAATTCAAATAAATGACTGTTGAAGGGCTGCGTGGGAGAAAACACACACCTCGGTCAAGGGCGGCTCTTACAGCGACACACACACTCATCACAACAAAGAGAGAGGAAAATATTAGCATAAAACACACATCAATCCTGATGTTTCAGCTTCCGTCTCGACTCGCTCCAGTTTAGATTCAGAGTGACGGGTCGACATGCCGTCCTTGACACACACACACACACACACACACACACACTTCGGCGCATCTGTACAGCATTACACTGCTGTTTATGTGTGAGTGAGTGAGTGAGTGAGTGAGTGAGTGAGTGTGTGTGAGTGTGTGAGTGAGTGAGTGTGTGTGAGTGAGTGAGTGAATGAGTCAGTGAGTGAGTGAGTCAGTGAGTGAGTGAGTGAATGAGTCAGTGAGTGAGTGAATCAGTGAGTGAGTGAGTGTGTGAGTGAGTGAGTGAATCAGTGAGTGAGTGAGTCAGTGAGTGAGTAAGGGAGTGAGTGAGTGAGTGAGTGAGTGAGTGAGTGAGTCAGTGAGTGAGTCCGTGAGTGAGTGAGTCAGTGAGTAAGTGAGTCAGTGAGTGAGTGAGTGAGTCAGTGAGTGAGTGAGTCAGTGAGTGAGTGAGTGAATGAGTCAGTGAGTGAGTGAATCAGTGAGTGAGTGAGTGTGTGAGTGAGTGAGTGAATCAGTGAGTGAGTGAGTCAGTGAGTGAGTAAGGGAGTGAGTGAGTGAGTGAGTGAGTGAGTGAGTGAGTGAGTCAGTGAGTGAGTCCGTGAGTGAGTGAGTCAGTGAGTAAGTGAGTCAGTGAGTGAGTGAGTGAGTCAGTGAGTGAGTGAGTGTGTGAGTGAGTGAGTGAATGAGTCAGTGAGTGAGTGAGTGAGTCAGTGAGTAAGTTAGTCAGTGAGTGAGTGAGTGAGTGAGTCAGTGAGTAAGTTAGTCAGTGAGTGAGTGAGTGAGTCAGTGAGTGAGTGAGTGTGTGTGTGAGTGAGTGAGTGAATGAGTCAGTGAGTGAGTGAGTGAGTCAGTGAGTGAGTCAGTGAGTGAGTCAGTGAGTGAGTAAGGAGTGAGTGAGTCAGTCAGTGAGTGAGTGAGTGAGTGAGTGAGTGAGTGAGTGAGTGAGTCAGTGAGTGAGTGAGTGAGTGAGTGAGTGAGTCAGTGAGTGAGTGAGTGAGTGAGTGAGTGAGTCAGTGAGTGAGTCAGTGAGTGAGTCAGTGAGTGAGTGAGTCAGTGAGTGAGTGAGTGAGTGAGTCAGTGAGTGAGTGAGTGAGTGAGTGAGTCAGTGAGTGAGTGAGTGAGTGAGTGAGTGAGTCAGTGAGTGAGTCAGTGAGTGAGTCAGTGAGTGAGTCAGTGAGTGAGTGAGTCAGTGAGTGAGTGAGTGAATGAGTCAGTGAGTGAGTGAGTGAGTGAGTGAGTCAGTGAGTGAGTGAGTGAGTGAGTGAGTCAGTGAGGAAATAGACGGGTGTTACCATCATGAAGCAGAGATGTATAACCAGATGCTGATAACTTTAAAACAGTCTGTATATATTTATGTATATATACAGTATAAATAAGTGTGACTCACGTTTGATGGTGAGCTCCCCGTAGTTGGACACTCCCACGCCGGTGTTCGAGTGGACGATGCATCGGTAGCGGCCGGAATCCGTTTTCGTCGTGTTCATCACATCGAACATGCCGATGAAACGCTGGTTATTCCACGGCTTGGTCGCTTTCATTGGAGCTTCACGTCCACCGATACCCTGAGCACAGAGTGTGTGCTAATCTCAGTTTATTGATAAAGCACACTTTAAATCAGAAGAAAGTTGATCAACATGTTGTACAGATAAACATCATGTGAAAAAAAGAAAACAAAAAAAGGCAGTAAAACTAAATTTAAAGTGAGGATCATATTTAATCTTATTGAGGCCTCAGAGACTCACACACACACACACTCACTCACTGTCTCGCTCTCTCACCCGCTCACTCACACACTCACTCGCTCACTTGCTCACCCACTCACTCACTCACTCACACACACACACTCACTCGCTCACACACACACACACACTCACACACACACACACACGGCTCCTCCAGCTGTCAGCGCTTTAGGAGGCAGATGGAGGCCATTAGTTCGTCAGTGATATTTCTTCATTACTGTCATCAGGGACTTCTGCTAAAGTGTGGATCTCGTTCCTCTGTTAATGAGGACGTGTTTGTTTAAGTGACAAACTGCCTGAGTGAGGTCCTAACAAACACAACTCCAACAAACACAACACTAACATACACAACTCGAACAAACACAACACTAACAAACACAACTCGAACACACACAACTCGAACACACACAACACTAGCATATACAACTCTCACAACTCACTGGGTGTGTGAGTGTGTGAGTAAGTGAGTGAGTGAGTGAGTGAGTGTGTGAGTGTGTGAGTGTGTGAGTGTGTGTGTGAGTCTGACCTGCAGCCAGAGGTTAAAGTTGTCTCTCCACTCTCCGTTGACGGTGCAGTGAAAGGTTGCTGTTTGTCCAGCGTTCACTTCAACCCCTTTGATATGGAGGAAGTGCGGCGTGTTCACTGGAAGCAGAATAACACACACACACACACACACACTAAATAAAACACACACCCTGGAGTTTCAGAAGAGCCACGAGACTAAAACATCTCCTGCAATCTCTTCTATTCTCTCAGGTTCAATAAAACATGCAGCATGTGTGTGTGTGTGTGTGTGTCCTCAAAGCAAAACACTAAATCAACACACGAGCGAGATCTTTAAGCTGTGAGATGTTCTTTCTGAGAAAAACACAGTTTCACAAGAGACCTCAAATACGTCTCAGATTCGGCTGAGATTTGACAAAATCAAAGTTTCCGATCAAAAGTCTGAATATTGAGAATATCAGATGATCTGAGTCTTTCACAGCTCGGAAATTGTGTTCTTGTTCAATATTTATGTCTCGTTTCCAGCACAAATTCTTACATCAACATACATTTACTGGAGAAGAAGCAAAATTACTGAAGATATTAAGATTTTTTTATTCAAATGAAGTGAGTTTGTGCTTAAAATGAGAACAAATATCTGCCAATGGGGTCAGAGAAATAAAGTTGTTTTTGAATTAAGATTAGTCTCCATTGGCAGATATTTCTTCTCACTTCATTTTGCTGCAAGACCTCGATCTCTTCAACTGTGCCAAAATATAACAAGATGTTTTATTACAGATATCAATAACACCCTCTCAACCTCCTTGTTTTTCAGAACGAGTAAAAAAAATAAAAAATCAATATTGGTTTCTCATTTAATCTGCGCACAGCTAATAATATTCCCCTAAACCACTAACCTTAACTCTATTGATTAAAGTTGCGGTGTGTTCTCATTAGTCTCCAACAACAAAGCGCTCGCATAACTGGGTCAATATGCATTTAAAACCAGAAGCATCTGTGAGATGAAAGATGATTTAAATGAAGTTATGACGAGTCGAGTGACCTCGACGTGAACGAAGAGACTCTGCTAATGTAATTTCAGTCTCTCTGCACTCCTCTTCCTCCTCTTCCTCCTCCTCACACTCTTCAGTGTTTCATCAGTCGCATCTGAAGGGAAGCGCCGTTATCTTACAGTAGTGTGTTACAGTAGTGTGTTACTGTAGTGTGTTACAGTAGTGTGTTACAGTAGTGTGTTACGGTAGTGTGTTACGGTAGTGTGTTACAGTAGTGTGTTACAGTAGTGTGTTACAGTAGTGTGTTACGGTAGTGTGTTACTGTAGTGTGTTACGGTAGTGTGTTACGGTAGTGTGTTACGGTAGTGTTTTACAGTAGTGTGTTACAGTAGTGTGTTACAGTAGTGTTTTACAGTAGTGTTTTACGGTAGTGTGTTACGGTAGTGTTTTACAGTAGTGTGTTACGGTAGTGTTTTACAGTAGTGTGTTACAGTAGTGTGTTACGGTAGTGTGTTACGGTAGTGTTTTACAGTAGTGTGTTACGGTAGTGTGTTACGGTAGTGTGTTACTGTAGTGTGTTACGGTAGTGTGTTACGGTAGTGTGTTACGGTAGTGTTTTACAGTAGTGTGTTACAGCAGTGTTTTACAGTAGTGTGTTACAGTAGTGTGTTACGGTAGTGTGTTACAGTAGTGTTTTACAGTAGTGTGTTTGGTAGTGTGTTACAGTAGTGTGTTACAGTAGTGTGTTACGGTAGTGTGTTACGGTAGTGTGTTACAGTAGTGTGTTACAGTAGTGTGTTACAGTAGTGTGTTTGGTAGTGTGTTACAGTAGTGTGTTACAGTAGTGTGTTACAGTAGTGCTTTACTGTAGTGTTTTACAGTAGTGTGTTACAGTAGTGTGTTACAGTTGTCTGTCTATCCAATATCTATCTATCTATCTATCTATCTATCTATCTATCTATCTATCTATCTATCTATCTATCCATCCATCCATCCATCTATCTATCTATCTATCTATCTATCTATCTATCTATCTATCTATCCATCTATCCATCTATCCATCTATCCATCTATCTATCCATCTATCCATCTATCCATCTATCCATCTATCTATCTATCTATCTATCTATCTATCTATCTATCTATCTATCTATCTATCTCAGCAGAATCCCAGTTGACCCTTTCATCCTCGTCTCCTGTAGTCTCTTTCACACGCTGATCTCTCTCCTGCTTTATCGTCATCTTCTCTCTTTTGTTTTCGTTATTACGCTCTCTTTTATGACTCGCCAATGCCTGGAGAAACTGGAGACGATATTGATGTTGGGAGGCTGGCAGGAAAAGGCCAAGGAGCGGGTGATGAGGCTGGCTTTACGACGGAGAGATGGAGAGATAGAGAAACGGGTCTTACTGCACTGATGGCCCTGGAGAACGACGTCCTTGATGGCGAGAAAGCCTCTCTGCCCGGAGGTCACCACTTCAAAGACGATCTGCGGAGGAAAGAGAAAGCTCATAACCACAGTGATAAATGGACACGCTCTCAAAATGTCACACACACACACACACACACACCGGCACTGAGGTGTCCCGCAGGAGCCAAGGTGAGGGTTTAAATAACGACCACGAAGACGAGGAAAACACCATTCACACTGCTCATTAGTGCTCATTAAAACACCATTCTGGCTTTAGTGATTGGGCTGAACGTGTTGAATCATTGGCGTATGGGGTCATTAAAGACCCCCTGAAATCAAAATACGTTTTTGTAGCTTTTAGTATTAATATGTTCGCCTTAAGGTTATAAATTAGCCGATATGTTCCAAAACAATGACAAACTTCACATTTAGGAGAATCAAGCATTCAAAACTTGGATCAGGGATTGTTATGACATCACCGCTTCTCATCACATCTTCTGTCCAATCAAACGCTCTGTAGATTCTGAAGCTCCGCCCCCTCTGCTGTAACGGACACGTCACAGAGCATTATGGGTCGGAGACGTGTGTATTCTAAACGCTTTAGTTTTATTCCGTTTAATGTGCCCCTGGACCACAAAACCAGTCACAAGGGTCAATTTATGGAAATGTAGATTTATACGTCATCTGAAAGCTGGATGAAGAAGCTTTCCATTGATGCGTGGTTTGTTAGGATAGGACAAAAATTGACAATAATAATAAAAAAAAAAAAGGAAGCAAAAAAATCGAAACATTGAGAAAATTGCCTTTAAAGTTCGCGATTTTGCTGCATCCACTCAAAAAAGCATTTTTTTAAATAAATTTACAATAGGAAATTTACTAAACATCCTTTTTTAGATTTTTGGCGTAAAAGAAAAATGGATCATTTTGACTCATACAATGTATTGTTGGCTATTGCCGTGCGACTCTTGACTGGGTTTATGATCCAGAGTCAAAAATGGCTTGAATTTATACTATTAAATCATCAGCGCTTGGATATGCTTCCAAGGTGCTGGGGTAAACTAAACGCTATTGGCTATTTGAAAGGGGGGAGGAGCCATTAAATAAGCCCCGCCTTATCTTCCCGTTTCAGAGGAGATTACGAAGATGAGGAAAACACCATTCACGCTGCTCATTAAAACACCATTTGGCTTTAGTGATTGAACCTGAGAATCAGCGGGCGAGCGGGATCAGGCTCCAAGGGTGCCCGTGGTGAATCGGCTGTCTGTCAGATTGCAGACTTTATAGATGTGGTAAATCACGTCTCTATCAGCGAGATGCTGCGGCAGCATGTGCTAAATCTGCTCGGTTTATACAGCCAAACAATTCAACTCGACAGCCAGACTCTGGGGGTCAGGGCTAAAGACGGGCAGAGTGAAGGATTCTGGGATACACGCTCTTTGCTAAGCTTTCTATTATGATGCATGTTCAGCGCGCGAGAGGTTTGACAGGCGTCCCTGGAGCCGGTTCTGCAACATCACGGTCACGCTGACCTGGACCGGCTGCTGACCGACAGTCAAAAGCGGCTCGGATGAAATATACGCTAATATATACAGTAGTCTGACGTCGGCACCCAAATGTGGATTCACTTGATTAAAAACCTTTAATCACTCCCTTTCAGACCTCAGAGACATTAAAGAACATTTTTTGGGGTCAATGCAATTCAATGGGGTCCAATGTTGAAGTGAAGTCATGATGACAGAATGATCTGAAGTTATAATCGGTTTTTATTAACATTAAGTGGACGAGAACTAATGATTTCTTGACATTTCCAGGTTTCACAGGGACTGAACTGCAGTTTGAATGTAAAGATATTTGGTGAAGTGTGTCTGGTACTCACCGCCGTCCCCAAACCAACATAAACATTCCTAATAATCCATAAATTGCAACATATTAACAGATATGACTGAGCGATCTGAGCGGGACAGAGGAACATGAGCTCAGATGAAGGACAGGAACGACAGGAACTGGGTGCGGCTCTCCAAACATCCCATAATATCACACACACACACACACACACACACTCACACGAGACCTGGACGAGAGAGGAGACACAACGGCTGATGAGATGAGAATAAATGTTTGATCTGAAGAGAAGAGAGGAGATGAAAGGAGAACAGACATGAGAAATCAGAAAATCAGATTTCATTTCATATTCGACAATATTATTGAACTGTTTTGACACCATTACATGAACTGAGCTGGACGATGACATCACGGTGTTACAATTATCCTGCAAATGTTCATTTATTTCAGTAATTCAACTTAAAAGGTGAAACTATAATATATTATATAGACTCATTACATGCCGAATGAGATATTTCAAATCTTTATTCAAATTCAAAATTAGAATATTGTAAAAAGGTTTTCATAATCATTATAAAACATTATATCAAATAAAGATCATCAGAGGAAACTGAGTTATGTGTTTCAGAAATGTACATATACAAAATAACGGTTAGCTCTACTCATTTAAACAATGTAATGGTTTAATGCAGAAACAGTGAGCTCATTGAAGTAATGAATACTTTTTTATTAAAACATGATTATGACATTTAGAGAGATGTAGCATTACTGCATGTTGATTCAGTGTTCATGTATCTGTGCTTGAGAAATTTAGAAATTTTAGATGTTTTTAATTTTAATTTTATTTATTATTTTATTTTTTATTTATTAATTTTATTTCACACACACACACACACACACACACACACACACACACACACACACATATATATATATATATATTATTTATATTTATATATATATTATTATATATATATATACATTTATATATATATTATATATATAATTACACATATATTTATACATTTTTATATATTTATTTAATCTTTATTATATATATAAAATTAAAATAAAAAAATATATAAAACATTATATATATATATATATATATAAATAATATAAATTCAAGCACAGATACATGAACACTGAATCAACATGCAATATATATATATATATATATATTATATATATACATATAATTTTTATATATTATTAATTTTAATTTAATTTAATTTTAATTTTATTTTATATATATATATATATATATATATATATAAATAATTTTCCTTTTTATATATTTATTTTATTTATATATTTTTTAATTTTATTTATTATTTTATATATTTATTTATTTTATTTTATTTTTTTATTTTTTTATTTTATATATATATATAAATAAATAATTTATTTTTAATCATTAATTTTTTTTTTCCAGATCTCCTGGATTGCTGTTATGGGGCTGGATAGGGTTGTTTATGGTGTAGTTTGCAACAACAGAAATGATATGACAAAAAAAGAGAAATACATAAAAACTAAATGTCTGTCACAACCAATGAGAAGCTGTGATGGCTGACCTGATCGCCCATCAGCACAGAGGTTACAACTGCATCTTTCTAGAGAGGAAACACATCAAATCGAGTCTATAATTATAAAATAATGTCCAAAGCACCAGGTGGTTTCATTTTGATGATCACTTACGATACTGTGCAATTAATGCGACCAATAATTATCCTGACGTCGCTAATTAGACACACACTCGCTCTATTCTTATCACACAGAGCGATGCATGTGGAATCTTTTTAAGAGCCTTAATAACACATGCAAGTTCCACATCAAACTAGCAGAGCAATTCCTCATCATTCCTCAACGCAGACGGCACAGAAATAACCTCACACACACACACACACACACACACACACCAATAATCTCAGCAAACACATGACGGCTCCTGTAATATACTCCTTATTTATATATATATATATACAGTTAAACTCAACCCATGCCAGAAATGTTGGGATGCTCCTGCTAAACCGCTCCCACAGTCGGAATGACAAAAGTGCTGATGCTTAAACACAAGATATTTCAGGCGTCTGAGGTTAAAACCACGTCTGCTCTCAGTTTACCACGGTATTCAGCACTGCTAATCTGAGACTCACAGTGTGTGTGTGTCTGTGTGTGATGCTGTTTTACACCGTTTCCTAACCAGATTAAGACTATAGTGACAAGCAATTGCTGTCCACAGCAGAAAAACAAGACACGACAAAATCAATCACAAGTCACAGCCAATCAGAAGAGCCTGTGGGCGGAGTCTCTCTGCAAGCCACTGCACTCACAACCAATCAATCACAAGTCACAGCCAATCAGAAGAGCGTGTGGGCGGAGTCTCTCTGAAAGCACACCGCACTCACAACCAAATAAATCACAAATCACAGCCAATCAGAAGAGCGTGTGGGCGGAGTCTCTCTGAAAGCACACCGCACTCACAACCAATCAATCACAAATCACAGCCAATCAGAAGAGCGTGTGGGCGGAGTCTCTCTGAAAGCACACCGCACTCCCAAACAATCAATCACAAATCACAGCCAATCAGAAGAGCGTGTGGGCGGAGTCTCTCTGCAAGCCACTGCACTCACAACCAATCAATCACAAGTCACAGCCAATCAGAAGAGTGTGTGGGCGGAGTCTCTCTGAAAGCACACCGCACTCCCAAACAATCAATCACAAATCACAGCCAATCAGAAGAGCGTATGGGCGGAGTCTCTCTGCAAGCGCACGGCATTTGCATTACTACACTTAATTTATAAATATTAAACCATTTTAACAATATTAACAATGCACAGTGAGTGAATGAAACTGTCTTTATCATTGAATAAACATTTTCCTTAAATTTATTCAGTATATGAAATATGAATGATATTGAATGTCAATAAAAATAAACTACGTAAAAAAGAAATTTTACATGCAGTTTAAACGTATAAACCTTAAAAATATGAACACATTTCTAAGATCTGAGATGAATAATGATCTATTGTTGCTTTCGGTTTGGCTAAAACTGACTTTAGACTTTCTAAGATGAAATAAGAGCTCATAATTAGTTCTTAAGATGATCATTGTCATGTTTGTTTGTATCTCCAGCTGCGATGTCACAGAAATAGAAACCGATTACACTCCTCTGTTCGTTGCGGCTGATTAACACGATGAAGATGATTTTTTTTTTAATTGTGTGTGAGTTTCGTCTGGTTAGGACAGTGTTCGCAGCTTCACAGGTTTGGAAAGTCATTAGAGCTAATAAGTAAATTAATTTTAATTATTGCCTAAATTATTCCTCTAATGCAATCAAAAAGTTCAGCAAAGCATGAATAATCTGACAGAAGCCCGTTTAAAATCCGCACTTCTCCACACGTCATGATGAAACTTTACAAATGAAATGATGATGTGCTGCAGGGTTTGGTGTGTGTGTGTGTGTGTGTGTGTTCCTCTAAAGCATCTAATCAGGGTCTCGTCGTAACCTCTCGCTGTCGCTCTAATGGAGTAATTTACCAAAGCACGCGTTCCCTGCGCGGGGTCACGGGGGCTCGTTCCACCAATTAACACGGGGCTCCGTCAGCACCCATGAGGACGGGTCACTAATGACCAGCATGTGTGAAATCAGACCGTCTCTCTTCAGGCTCACACACACACACACACTGACACACACTCTCTCTCTATAGGCTCACAGCACATGTGGAAAACAAGCAGCAGAAAGGTGATTCTCTGTTTCTCTTTAATAGGGGGCAGATTTTCATTACATTCACCTGAAACTGATGGGCAGGTGACAGAAAAACACATGTATCTGAGCACACACACGCACAAACAAACACACACATCTGGTTCATTGACTCACTGACTCACTCACTCACTCACTGACTCACTCACACACTCACTGACTCAATGACTGACTCACTCACTCACACACTCACTGACTCACTCACTCACTCACTGACTCACTCACACACTCACTGACTCAATGACTGACTCACTCACTCACACACTCACTGACTCACTCACTCACTCACTGACTCACTCACTCACTCACTGACTCAATGACTGACTCACTCACTCACACACTCACTGACTCAATGACTGACTCACTCACTCACACACTCACTGACTCACTCACTCACTCACTGACTCACTCACACACTCACTGACTCAATGACTGACTCACTCACTCACACACACTCACTGACTCACTCACTCACTCACTGACTCACTCACTCACTCACTGACTCAATGACTGACTCACTCACTCACACACTCACTGACTCACTCACTCACTCACTCACTCACTGACTCACTCACTCACTCACTGACTCAATGACTGACTCACTCACTCACACACTCACTGACTCACTCACTCACTCACTGACTCACTCACTCACTCACTGACTCAATGACTGACTCACTCACTCACACACTCACTGACTCACTCACTAACTCACTCACTGACTCACTCACTGACTCACTCACTCAATGACTGACTCACTCACTGACTCACTCACTCACACACTGACTCACACACTGACTCACTCACACACTGACTCAATGTGTCAATGACTCACTCACTCAGTCACTGAATCACTCACTGACTCACTCACTCACTCACTCACTCACACACTCACTCACTCACTGACTCACTCACTGACTCAACGACTCACACACTCACTGACTTACTGACTCACTCACTGACTCACTCACTGTCTCACTCACTCACTGACTCACCGACTCACTCACTCACTCACTAACTCACTGATTCAATGACTCACTGACTAAATAACTCACTGACTTACTGACTCACTCACTGACTCACTCACTAACTCACTGACTCAATGACTCACTCACTCACTCACTGACTCACTAACTCACTGACTCAATGACTCACTCACTCACTGACTGAATGATTCACTGACTCACACACTCTCACACACACACACACACACACACACACACACACTAACTCAATCACTGACACACTCACACACACTCACAGACTCACTCACTGACTCACTCACTCACTGACTCACTAACTCACTCACTCACTAACTCAATGACTTACTGACTCACTCACTCACTGACTCACTCACTCGCTGACTCACCGACTCACTCACTCACTCACTCACTAACTCACTGATTCAATGACTCACTGACTAAATAACTCACTGACTTACTGACTCACTCACTGACTCACTAACTTACTGACTCAATGAATCAATGACTCACTCACTCACTGACTGAATGACTCACTGACTTACTGACTCACTCACTGACTCACACACTCACACACACACACTAACTCAATCACTGACACACTCACACACACTCACAGACTCACTCACTGACTCACTCACTCATTGATTCACTCACTCACTGACTCACTGAGTCACTCACTCACTCAATGACTCACACACACACACACAGTTCACCTGGTAGTAGTTGGGCCAGTAAGTGCTGATGGCGAGCTCCACCTGGCTCCAGGAGTGTGTGGCGGGTCCAGACGTGTTCCACACCGGTAGACCCATCGGGCTGTTGTTCTCCTTGATGTAGATGTTCAGATGTCCAGGTCTGCCGCCTTCTCGACCCGCAACGTAGAACTGGAATATCACGCAGTGTGTGTCGTTCTCTTTCAGCTGCGGAGTGAAGAGTAAAGCCTTCTGACCCGCAAACCGACCCGAGGAGTTCACCATCATGAACGCCGAGCCTGTGGACAACACCAGAGTAGACCGTGGTAGATCAGTGTGTGAGTATGAGTGTGTGTTTAAGTTAATACAGTAAAAATAGTGAAATATTATTATAATGTAAATCATCAGTTCTCTATGTGAATATACAGTAAAGTGGAATTTAATCAAAGCTGAATTTATCATCATTACTCCAGTCTTCAGAGTCACATGACCCTTCATAAATCAGTCTAATATGAGGATCTGATGATCAACAAATTGAAACTGGTAAAAGAGTCGTGGACCAATCATTTTCAGGATTCATTGATGAATAGAAATATAATAAATTTTTTGTAACATTATAAATGTCTTTACGGTCGCATTATCATCTCATGTAAACACAGCTCGTGATGAGTGTGTCCGTCCGTCACACACTGATGTGTTTATGAGACATATGGAATACATTAGTGTGTTTATCAACATGTAGAAATCACTGCAGTGACGGTAATTGATTAAAGAGGAGCCACTTCATTACAGGAGCAGCTTGATTCATCTTAATTAGCATTGCTAATAAATGTAGATCTGTTTCAATCAGGCGGATGCCAAATCAACACATACTGACTCACCATTACACACACACACACACTCTTTTTTGCAGTGTACTAAATGAAAATTGAATAATATATATATATATATATCTTCAATAAACCGAACCCTCTCGTTCATTCTTTAATTAGTTCTTAACTCTCGCATGTTTTCCAGCAAAACTGATGTGATGTAGAGCTGCGTTAATCACTTCTGTGTAACGACCACTTCCTGTCCGCCAGAATAATTATCCACCGTCTCCGGCGGCGAATCATAACGAGTGTGTCTTCTTGCGGCGAACACACGAGTGTTTCACCTCCTCAACAATAGCGCGTTCGGCCCAATTAGCCGCGGAGCTCGAGTGTCTCAGAGAGGCCAGCGGGTCTGTGTTTATTAGCACTTCAACAAGCTCAGATCTGATTGGACGAGAGGCGACGACCCCACACACCTGCTAAGGTCACATATGTAAAGACATTTTTAGATTTCAAAACCGCAGATCACAGATACACCGCCAAACACACACTGTAAAACTACTCTCAACTATTAATGTATCAGCTAGCATGATAGGCCATATTTTGACACGGTGCATTAGCTAGCCAATTTTTAGCATGTTGCTAGCATGTTTAACATGATTTAACGCTTTATAAACATGTTTTCAGCAAATTTCTAGCATGTTTTAAAATGCTAGCAACATTCCCAGATAGCAAACTGACATTGAATCAATGTGGAAATATGACATCGAAACAACGTTGATCTGACATTGTTTTGCTCATCGAATTAACGTTGAACCAACGTCAGACGCGTCATTCTTTCAAAACTAACGGAAAATCAACTTGAAATCAACGCGTTGTTTCAACGTTATGAAAGCAAACCAATTTTCGATTTTCATTTAGCTTTGAAGAATGCCGCGTCTGACGTTGGTTCAACGTTAATTCGATGAGCAAAATCAACGTTGTTTCGATGTCATGAGAGACGTCGTTTCCACGTTGATTCAATGTCACTTTGCTGTCTGGGTTGCTAACATGTTTATAACATAAAACACGTTATCATGGTTTAACATGTTGCTAGCATGTTTATAACATAATTGAACATAATTGAAATAAGAGTCTCGGACAAGCCGGGCACGTTTTAATATGTTACTAGCATGTTTCTAACAATAAAACTCGTTGTTGTCATGTTTTAACATGTTGCTAGCATGTTTATAACATAATTTAACACATTGCTGGCATGTTTCTAACATAATATAACACATTGTTATCATGTTTTAACATGTTGCTAGCATGTTTAACATGATTTAACGCTTTATAAACATGTTTTCAGCAAATTTCTACCATGTTTTAAAATGCTAACAACATTGCTAATATTTTTATAACATAAAACACGTTATCATGTGTTGCTAGCATGTTTATAACATAATTGAACATAATTGAAATAAGAGTCTCGGACAAGCCGGGCATTTTTTAATATGTTGCTAGCATGTTTCTAACAATAAAACTCGTTGTTATCATGTTTTAACATGTTGCTAGCATGTTTATAACATAATTTAACACACTGCTGGCATGTTTCTAACATAATATAACACATTGTTATCATGTTTTAACATGTTGCTAACATGTTTATAACATGATTTAACACATTGCTAGCATGTTGCTAGCATGTTTCTAACATAACATGTTTTAGCACATTGCTAGCATGTTTTAGCATGTTGTTAGCATGAAGATCACATGCAGTGTTTGTTAGTTTGGAGACTGTGAGGACTCGGTACCGCGTGTCGTTTAGTTGAGTGTTTGTGCAGATGAGCGGCGGAACGGATTAGCATGTGCCACGGATCCGCTGCCAAACTCAAAATATTGTATGAAGAGCATATGAAATCATAACTTTAATCTGAGCTTGCCTTGTCTACCGATTCCTTACAAATTACCATGGCGATCTGCTGGTGTGATCTGAGCGCCTGAAGCCGCTAACGCTAGCGGATCTCAGAGAAACTCCCCACAGCTCTGACAAGGTGAAACCATTACCTGCCGCTAATTTACTCAGAGAAGCGGCGGTCCGCGGGTTTATTTCGAGCGGCGTGGCACCTGATGCTTCATTAGAGCATGCTGGGATACCGGGAGCTTGTCACGCTAATGGCAGAGCTAATTAAAAAGAGTCTCGGACAAGCCGGGCATCACACAACATTATTATGAGGAGAAGTTCCACATGTGCAGGAGATGTCTTCATAACGAGAGACGGAAATAAACACATCTGGGGCGTATTAATAACCAGAACTTGATTTAAAGTCACAGTGGTTTATCAATGTGGTTTCAAATCAAACATTATGAGCTTGAACATCCGAATCCTGAAATAAAACACTGTAGTTTTACTGAGGTAATGTCATCAGATACCACCGTAATGCATGATTCATGCAATGCATTTAGATTGTCAAATGAATAAATAAACAAATATTTTAATTTATTCAATTATTCAATTATATTTATTTATTAAATTGATTAAACTTAAAAGCATGGTTGATGAATGAAATCATAAAAATGTAACAAATAAACATGAATGATTTAAAAATAAATAAAAAACTATTTAAAACAAATAACATTTATTTAACATTATATATATGCTAAATTATTATATACATTAATATTTAATATTTTATTAATTTACATTATATTCCAATTTTTTTTCCTAAAATAAAACACTGTAGTTTTACTGTGGTAATGTCATCAGATACCAGCGTACTGCATGATTCACATGCATATCTATATTATTAATGTCTTGTGCAATGCATTTAGATTGTCAAAAGCTAAATGAATAAATAAACAAATATTTTAATTTATTCAATTATTCAATTATATTTATTTATTAAATTGATTAAACTTAAAAGCATGGTTGATGAATGAAATCATAAAAATGTAACAAATAAACATGAATGATTTAAAAATAAATAAAAAACTATTAAAACAAATAACATTTATTTAACATTATTATATGCTAAATTAATATATAACATATATAATATTTAATATTTTATTATTTATATTATATTCCTATTTTTTCCCTTAAAATAAAACACTGTAATTTTTACTGTTGTAATGTCATTTAGATACCAGCGTACTGCATTATTATATGCATATCTATATTATTATGTCTTGTTCAATGCATTTAGATTGTCAAAAGCTAAATGAAAAATAAACACATATTTTAATTTTTCAATTATTAAATTATATTTATTATTAAATTAATTTATCAAACTTAAAGCATGGTTTGTGAAGAAACTGCAGTTGATGAATTAAATTAAAAAAAAATTAACAAATTAAAATGAATGATT